TACCACCAGGGGTGAGCTTTACAACCATTTTCCTGACATTCTCTCTCCCAGGACAACCCAGTATCAGCCCTGCTTGTGACACATGGAATTTTACATGTTTATTCACTGAAGACTTTCAGTTACTTCCCTGCTCTCCAACTCACCTGCTCAGTTTTTCAGAGTCTGCCAAAATAATCCTCTCCCTATAAAACTAATGAAAACTTTAGCAACAGGTTTAGATTCCCTTACCATGGAACAAAATTTCAAAGCCAGATTTAACACCCAAATCCCAGTCACAGAATATCATAAAACTTTTTCTTCATCACTTAGTGGTTTTGAACTATTTAGGTGAAGGTTTACTGAATGAGAGTAGTACAGAAATACTACAAAAATATCAGTGCTACTGATGCCGAGCCCTAGAGAAAATGTAAACACAGCTGAGAACATGAAGAAAGGTATATGCTACAAGTAGTTGCAAAGCATGGATAGTAATCGATAATGTGTGAGCCTAACTCAATTAATTCATTTTACATTGCATATAATATTAATACACTGAGAAACACTATTCTGGAAAAAACAAAATTGCTCAAAATACATCATTTTTAAAATATAATTTTCAATGTTTTTCCAATTCACGTAGCGTTTTGAAAATTGCTAGCTAATTCTGTAACAATATGACTAGTTTAATTAATCTCTTACAAATATAAAGGAACATGCCATCCCAGCTTTCTTCTTAATAATTATTATAAAAATTTATTTCAAATTAGTAGATTAAGTTAAAATCCTTGACACTATTGCACAGAGGCCTCACAATTAACATAATATCTGGTTTGAAATATTTATATCTATATCTAAATATTTATTTTGAAGACTAAGTTTGTTTCCTTAATGACACATTAAGTTTTTAGGGGAGGAAGCTTCCCCTCATGCCTCTCCAGGTAGGTTTCTGCACATCCAGGACCATATAGAAGTATTCATATGCACGCACAAAGCATTTTTCCAGGGAAAGTTTAGCAGAACAAGTCTTTAACTCCTATGATTAAAAAACATTTTCCCTTTCATTTTACTAGAAATTTCTTATTGATTTAGGTCATAGCTGAATCTGAGTCAGCTTTATCAGAGATGAAGCTGTTCATACTTCTAATTATATCACAGTTTTAATTTGATCTTTACTGTACATAACTACAATAGATCAGAATACAATTTTCTCTCCCAGGTGTCTGTCTCCAGATGATTACTAATTTCTGAAAGTTTCAGCCACAACAGCTCATTTCAAACACATGGCAGGGATAATACAGGATGCTTTGCTAGGGTTACTAAATTCTGGCAACTCATTCCTTTAAAAGCTTTTGTCCTCCCTAACTTGAGGGCAAAACCGTAAAAAACAGAGGCAGGGAGGAAAGTCCAGAACTGGAGGGGAAAAAAAACCAACAAAACAAACCACAAAAACCCCAAAAGATACCAAACATTCTCCAATACTTAGTAGCAACTTACAGAGCTATAGTACAGAGCTCCAGCAACGCTCTCACAGAATCGTGGGATCACTCAGTTTGAAAGTGACCTGGGTGGGTCTCCAGTCCAATCTCTTGCTCAAAGCAGGGCTGCACGCCAAAACCCAGAATTCAGATCGGGTTTCTAAAGGTTTTGTCCACCTGGGTCTTGAAAACCTCCAAAAACTGGAGAGTGCACAACCTCCGCGGACCTCTGTCCCAAAGCTTAATTACCCTCTTCGTGAATTTATTTTTCCTTGTATCCAAGCAGATCCTCAACAGTTCCAATCTAAGCATTACCTTTGTCCTGCCACTGCAGACCTCAGTATGTTCTTGGTTACCTCCTGTTTTGTCTTCGACAGTTTGAAAACAATGCCAAGATCAGACAAGCTGCTGTGAAGAAAATTAAACTGGATTACTACAGAGAGCAGGAATTAGATGAGATGAAGTGCAGGGAGAGCACTCTGGTAAACAGCTAGGATGGAAACAGGGTGAATGAACATGTGAATTGGGACTCACAGACAAATTCTTATTTGTCCCAGAAACTATGGGCTACACATGCACATTCATAGGTGGATAGTCTGAGCGCCGTGTCTCATCCTGGCAAGGAAAAACAGTGGAAAGGTTGGATTTAATCGGATATGTGCCTCAACTTCTTGTATTAAACATCAGAGATACCAGCAGTTCCTCATTCCACGGAAATACTGGGATAAATGAGCATTTGTGATGCATGACCAACACCACGGAAAAGTTCAAAAAAGGATGAATGTATTGAAAGCAGAATGTGAATAGAGTACCGAAAACATGGCCTGAGATCACCCCTTAACCAAGGAAGGCAAAAAGAATAAATAACTTCTCACACAACAATATTTATTTTTACATGCTAAAGGAAGTTTAGTCCCACAGAAAGAGTGCTCTGATCATGTAGTTAGCCCTGTGTCACTGTAAATCCATACAGGGGACACAATTTAAGGCTACTGACTTAATTCTTACCTTTATTGGGTATTTACTAACTTTATAGTAACTAACTTTGCAACTTCAAGATATTATTTTAATGCAGTTTTCTGTATGTAATAATAAAGCATATACTTTGACTGATTTTGATGCAAGAGAACAACTGATCAATTAGAAGCACACAGTCATGAAAAGCCAATGGCATCCTAGCTGTGATGACTGCTGTGGTATTTGCCATGGTTTACAGGCCTGAATTGCTATTTATTAATATTAATTTCCCCATGTGCAACCATTTTTTTTTTTTCCAGGCACTTCCTGCGGCCAGCTATTTTACAAGTAGCTGAAACCTGTTTTCATGTGGAGCCTGTTCAAAATCTCATTACTGACAATGGGAACAGTTCAACTGATGTGGATTGAAATCTATGTATTGTACAAGAATGTTCCGTATTTCCAAATGCATAAGCTACAACTCAGATAGGTACTTAGGTATGTGCATACTAATTGCATCCTAATAGTCCTTTTGGTATCACTGGGATTACCAGTGTTCTTGAAATGAATCATAAACATACCTATAACGCCAGGAGCTCACACTAAACTTAAAGAGAAAGGAAAGATCAGGAATATCATAAGCAGTGGGTGTGTTACTACCTTACAGGCAATGCAAACTGAAGGAGGCAAAGAGTATTACTAAATGGTATCTTCAAGATGCACATAAAGCCTACAGAAAGTTTTTCATTTCCTTTTTCTCCCAAGGTTCAACAAGAATTTTTGTGCTTCTAGACCTTGCAGCTTAGTGGCCCGTGGGGATCTTGCCTTTTAAGCAATATACTGAGAACAATTCAGTATCAGATTATGCTCCTAAATGAAGTTTAAAGCACTGGGATAGAAGATATGAGATTTGGCTGTTGCTTAATTGGTACAGAAGAATAGCACATCATTTAACTCATGTTCTTTACTAGATGATATCATGGGAAAGTGAGTTCTAGTTTATGCAGCAGCACATGCATAAACACAGCTGAATTCATTTTGACCAGTGAAGTAGCGAATGTGTCAATATAATCCAGCGTATAACTGTTGGGACCAAGCCTGCAAAACCTCATTCATGTGAATAATCCCACCAATACAGAGTCTAGATTAAAGGATACACATAAAACCCGGCAGATTTTGGGGTTTAAGCTCATCGTTTTAGAGACATAATGTTCATATAAACATCCAAACTTCTGAGGCACTCAGTAGAATCAAAGCACAAGACTCTTAGGGCCTGACCACTAACATGCTGGCAACATGACCTTCTCCATAAAGCAATCAAACCCTTTTTCAGAATTATATGATCATCCCTGTGCAAACCCCAGTTTCTTAAAATTTTCAAAAGCTTTCTAGCTTTTGATTTACTACTTTTCTGAGGTTTATCAACTGCTTGTAGTTTCTTGGCGCACTCCCAAACTCATCTGGGTAGTAGCATGAACCCAGTGATCTTCGCATCTAGAATTCTATCTTAAAAAGCCAAATACTTTCTTACTGTCACGATCAGTTCAAGCCTTCAGTACACAAAATTGTTCTCTCCCTCAGTGTACACACACACGGAGAAATAACTGTTCTCTCAACAGAGCACACACACAGATGACCCGATTGCATTTCGTTTGCTGTGTCACACTTAACTTCACTGTGTTAAAATCAGTGTTTCCTATATACAACGGTAATTGGAAATGGCCTTCAACAGCCTCTCAAGAACACAATTATATTATATAATGATATCCAGGAATTAGACACCATATCACCTTGTTTATCCATAAGTAACAGGGTGCGATAAAAGAGAAAACCTGATCCTAGCTAATGCCTTTCTGACCACTAAAATTCACTAAATGGATGATCCTAACTGCTTCCTAGCACTCCTCAAATATCATATTCACAAAACTTTCCTCTTATAATCTATATAGATAGCCCTATTTTAAAATAAAATCCATCTGCATATGCTTCAGGCCTTACTTTAATTAAATTCTACCCTTGTTGTAGATAGGGCCACACAGAAACCATGGAAGTGACATTATAGACCAGGATTTTCACTTATGTAAAATGCTGTTTTAATGAAAAACTGACATTTTGCTAAAGTAATCAACCTTGAATTTATTGATAAGTAAAACACTAATTTCTCCTTTGCCAAACCCTGGGGATTGCACAGCTGTTTAATCTTGCATAAGTTTTCGCTGAACTTTTAGATGATTCAGAGTAACCACAAACCTTATTTAACACAGGACACATCTTTATTGTCTCACCTTTCTGTTAGACTCTATTTAGGGGCCAAAAGAAAAAAGGTTTCCCATCCCTAAATGCAAAGGTTATTTGTAACTAAAATCCAAGCTAAAAGGCACGATAAACATGAATTTATTAATTGATTTAACTGACAGAGAAACTAAGTATCTTGAGGTTTCCCAATTCTCATGACATCTCCTGTGCCCAGTATTCAGTTACCCAAACAAGCTGACCATAAATTGCAGTTTGTACTAGTGGAGCACAGTCACAGAAGCACCAGTTTTCATGAAGACAGATCATGTTAGTATATCCACTGCCCCAGTCATTTTGCTACTTAACCTGTTTTTCCTTGCAAGGGTGAAGTCTGCTACTCTCCCATGCCTCGAGCACACTTGGAACTACAGCTCTGCAGCATAATGAACGTGCCCGCCTCTGCCAAGGTTCGGAAAACGTTTGGGCACAGGTGTCGGTTCCTTGCCATCCTCCAGGGCCAATAAACAGAATCTCTACAATGTAAAATGAGACAATACATTCACAAAGTCATTATGTTTTCCCAGAACTTGCTAAACTCCAAAATAAATGCATTTCAAGCCTTGTAACAGCCCCATATTCATAAGGCTTATTACTGTTTTTAATTTTGCTTGCTGCTTATTTACTGTTTACTCTCTTGCTTTACTGCCCTGGTGAAATTGTTGTTAATTGATACCCCAAATGGTAAGAGACCAAAAGAAGGAACTCAGTTGCAGAAATACTTGGTCCCTAACTAATCCTGCCATAGACTCATTGCTGCCAATATGGCACCACATTAAAAAGGTTAAAAGAACGTCTTCCAAATTTCTGTATCCTCTTTAATCTCTCTTGTCAATCTTTTAAAGTGGCTTTTTGGCAGTGAAAGTAGCCATCTCTATCCTGTGACAAAATACTTTTGACAGAAGACATGACCTTACAAGCAAAATTGAGATGTCTCTCTAATGACTGCAGCTGTCTTAGCATGATTTTCATAGAAACAAAGTCCCTCTGAAGAATGAGCAATGCTACAACTTTTCCCTACACAGGATTACGAGCAGCCTCTCACACGTTAGCTTTCCAGGGACCCCTTCCCCATGATTCTTTAGCAACTTTTGAATAGCATTCCCCAGGGATACACAGTCCCACTCCCCACATGTGGCACAGTCACTTCTCCTGCTTTTGTTGTTGTTAACGTATCGTATTCTATTTACATTGAAAGCAAATCTCTGCTGTCTGTTGAAAATCCCACTGAATATCCCTCAGGCTGCTTGCTTACCCCAGTGCCACCTGTACCTGCCTCCACTGATAACGGTACCAGCTTACATCCATCCGGCTGCATGGATGCCAGCTTTGCTCCATCTCAGAACACTTCAACAAACCCAGCCTGTTCCATGCATGATTTCATGAGGTTGAACCCCCGTATCTTTTGATGGTTTAAAAACTGCTTGTCTAGGCAAAGTTATCTGCAAATTCTCATAGGCTTTTGTGCATGTTGTATTGTGAATCTATGCTTTTAATGTTTGCACTCATTCTAGTTCAGACTCATTCTACTGCGCACTATTGCAAAAAACCTTCTATGACTGGCAAAATTAGGCAGTAAAACAAGTCCAATCAGCTGATAACAATAAAGAATGGTGCACAATTGTTCATTTCCTTAGCAAGAAAACAATCAATTTAGCAAAGCAACAAAATCAATGAAATATTCAGCTATTCCCCAGCCATTGCTTGCTTTCCCTTCTGAACTCTGAAGCCTTTCGCTCTGTGATGGCATAAATGACAACAGAAAGATTGGAAAGGATAGTCAGAGCGCTTCTTCACCTTTCTCTCAGAAGCAAGACCAGCAGAGAGGATTTCTAAGGATAAAGTCATACAAAAAACATACACTCTGCTGTTTCAAGGAAATTTTAAATTTAAACCTTACTGATAAGAAGAAATGGTGAATTTCTTCTGTAAACAGCACACAGTAGCTTGGGTTTTGATACTGTATTTATCCACAGAGCCCAGGAAAAACCCATCACTTTGCGCTCTACCTGGCAGCAATCCGATACTATTGGGGAACACACAGTACTTCGTATTGCATGTGAAATAATTATTGACTGCCAACTTATGACAATATTTTTAGCATCGTAACTAAAGACATTAAGTTGTAAGTTGCAAAACTGATTTTTTTTTTGCCTATCAGAGAAAAATGCCCTACCAAGCCCATAACATTATATATTTATTAGAGGCATGTGTAAGTGCTCACACACGGATTGTGTGTGTGAAGAAATCTACAGGACTAGTACACATTTAATACAATAAAAATCTCTGCATGATTTGTTAGATTGGTTCTTAAAATAGAGATATATCTATTGACATATATATATATATAACCACATACTTTTATTTGAGATGCCCTAGGTTTTTACATCCCAACATTCATCAGTTATCATTCATTCTGCACTACTATCATACCGTAATTATCAATCCTTACTTTTTATTGTTAATAGCTATTATGAATATAATTTAATACAACAGTAATTTATATCAACTTCAAATAAATGGAAGTCAACAGAATTTAACTATTCTGAAAATTTTCTTTTTGATGTAAATTAAGATTAAGGTTATATTTTTTTTTTTTTAAAAAAAAGTACACTGGTCATATTGCTACTAAAACTTTTTTTAAAGTTCTTTCACAATAATTTTCTTTCAAAAATCACATCTTTTAGTAATCTTCACTAGCAACTAAATACATTTTAATAATGACTCATTCCTAAGTATTAATATTGCATTCATTTTTTAAATTGTCCTTTAATTCTGTAGCTTTAAGTGAAAACTCTTTCAGCTTAGCTGACAAAAATACCAACCTCTTACAAGATTAACCCATTCCTTTGGAACTTTGCAAATCAGTGAAGTATATTACTTGAGAAATACAATACAGGGGCCTTTCACATGAGTAAGGCTTGCTATGTAAACTGATTGTTCACAGGGCTTAATCCTGCCTCCATTAAATCTTACAGAAGTTATTCATCGACTGCAGTGTGACTGTGATATTGGATCGCTAATAGCAGCTTTCTAAAAAAAATTTATTAAAAGGTTTGAGTATGAAAAACTTTTGAAATCCACATCAGTGTCTGTATATTGACAAAAATCACACACTACACTGCTAAGAGCAGTCTGATTGTGTGAGGCAGAGAATGTGATGCCTTTTAACAACACATTTTCGGTTATTACTATAAAATTGTAATTAGATAGTAAATTACAATGTTAATATTCACTTTGAACAAATAAGTGTTTGTAGTTGTAGAACTGGGCATTATTATGGTAGCACAGGGACCTATTCACCAAGTAAGACATAGACTTTCTTCATAAAAGTTATTCTATTCTGTAGTTTCTTCTTATGAACTTACATGAAATGCTAGCTTTTTATGTGCACTATTTGCTGAAGTCATCTTCACCAACATCAAAATCTATATTTCCCTTTGGGAAAGTGCCAGAACAAGCATTTTTCTCATCTGGTTCCACTACCCAAAGAATACAAAGAAATTAAAGAATCATTTCTCCCTGTACAGAAAAAAAAGATTATGTAAATGAAATGACAAACTTAAACTCTGATCCCATTTGAAAAAAAAAAAAAAAAAAAAGTAACTCTAATAATGTTTACATGATATACTAAATATAATAATAATACACATTATATGTGAAATTACACATATTACATATACATTATATATAATAACAATATAATGCTCTAATATTGTACTGTAAAATACTTAAATATATATATACAATAATATGTATATCTGGAATATCAGTAATATTTTAAAAACCCTGCTTGGTTTCATTTTTTTTTTACTGAGTTTTTTCCTTACCTTTTTCTTTTTCTAGCAATAATTCATTCTGCAGTTGAGGAAGCTATTTTGGAACATGTAAAAAGTTTTTTTTTTCAGTTTCAATACAAGGAAGGATTGAAAATACACTTTATTCAAGATGTCAAATCATTTGTAATGTATTTTGCATATCTACTGATTATAAAAGTTGAAATTTGGCTTCAGAAAAGTGTCACTGAAAACATGTTAGAATACAGTTCAGTGATGAAGTTTTGAAAATTATGTTATGGGCATGTAAAATACATGTTTAACTACAATCCAGTGATCTCTAGGAGACAGGCTTCATTACACACGGAGCTAGCTAGCTCTGAAGTAGGCATGCACAGAGATGTCTATTCCAGCTGTACAATACCTCGTAGGAGATGTGTAAGAAACCAAAGTCTGTATCCTTTCTCAATGTTAGAAGTCACCTACTTCCAGAATCAAAAAACTACCAACCGTACAGTGACCACAGAACTTCTGCACAAAAAATTGGCAGAACTGAACCCGGACAAGGCAAATCTCCATTTGGAAAAAAAGGGGATAAAACATATCTAGAAGAGTTTGATTTTTAAAATTTCAGTGATTGATTGACTCTGCTCATAGGTTTAGAGCATTAGAATAAGTCCCAGGAGAGATGGATGAGCAAGCAGAGAGGAGGTAAGGCTGCCAAAAGGTGCATGATAAGTACATTTATCACATGGTTTTGCAATTTATCTTGTATGTCTCCAATTCTTCATATAGCCCCCATTTGTAATCACCATGTGAAAAATTAGGGAGGCATGTGATAAATTAAGTTGTGAATTGTGATTTCTAATAAGTTAATCATTTATCCATGTAATTTAAATTTAACTTCTAATCACATCCAGTCTTTCAGGACGCAAAAGACTAAACAAGGGAAAACATATGAGGATGACCAAAATGAGAAAAACTAAAGACAGAAAATATGTGTCATCAACATAAAAGCACCTTCATAAACTAGTTTCTTGATCCATTATTTCTGAAACAAATAATTACAACTCTACAACTCAAAAGATTCCAGAATCACAAACCACATAGGAAATTTTGTGGCTAAAATGAAGCATCTCTTAAACCAAACTGCCTTTAGGTAGCACTATCACATTATTGACCTATTAATCTCCTTCCTCAGGACTTAGCACATTCCAAAATGTCTTAGCCATTTCTTTTTAATATGCCATTCAAATACAAGTTTTTTCTTTTTTGGAACCTCAGGCATCCTAGAATCCTTAAGAACATATCTATATAAATATATATCTGTTTATTTCGTTCTTAAAATTATAACACTGGTACTAATTGTAATTTAGCAACCCAGTATATAACTAAAAAAAAAAATTATAAGCTAAGTATTTAACTAATTTGGATAAAATCCATTTCATTAATCTATTGGGGATTTTTACTATTGGATAAAAGCACATTTTAAAAATAGTTTTTCTTAATGCAATTCTCTGTGATAGAATGATTGCAACAGTCAGTTTTAAAATTATTTTTTCATTTTGTTTTTTATCTTGCTTCTATTCCCATTATTTACTGTTTTTAAGATTAGTATCATACCATTTACTGTGCATACAAGTGCACATACACGAAACATGCATATATATACCTATAAAAACCTTTATATATACATATAC